TTAGAGTTCTCTATACCTTTTTTAGTAGGTATTGAGTCTTATCTAAGGAACTGTTTTTTGCAACTTAATGAGCTTAAGGGGTTTAGCACTTAATCAATCATTCATATATGACTATATCTTTTTGACTTAATTTAAATAGAATAACTTAATGGGTTAAGCAAAAAAACGTTGCATAATGTCTTAAGGCAACAATAATTTTCATGTTTTCACTTTTTTCTCCCTCTAACTCCTCTCATGTTAAAATTGATGACTATTGTGAAAATTGTATGTTAGAGTGTAAGGGTGAAATGGTCATTCAGTATCATTCGGATGATTTATTTGATTTAGAAAAGAAACATACTTTACGTATATAAAACTTTATCCAGATAGACACCATTATCTATTCAACGACTTTACCCATACAAGACTTGATAAGAAAAACAAGAACATCTCCTAAGTTAGATATTAGTACCATATTTTTGCTTCCAATTAACTTTTACATCGATGATTCTTTCTTTCTATATGCATAGCTGCACATGTGCTTCGAGTTAACCATTGGAGTGATGGTTTGGTTTTGCATTTCTTCTTCCATTTTGATTTGAACATGTTCATGAAAGTAGAGACCATATATCTAGTAAATTGGACATGGTATTTGATAGTAAATAAAAGGCTTGTTTATAAAGAAAGTGAAAATTTCCTCTTCCAAATTGGATGCAATGCTTTTTGTAATTATTGGCAACTTGTTGAGTTTGGTGTATTGGAAGCATGTATGCAGGTTGCTTTTGTGTTTCAGGAGACTTGACGAACTGGAAGCATCTTGTAAAGGTTAGTACCCCTAAATTAAATGTTTGCTTCTTATAGATGTGGTACTTTGAGAACAACTGTGTATCATTAGAGAGATACTTTAATGCTCCAATGGCAATGAAATGTGGTAGTGGTACATATACAAATAAGCGCTTGTGTGCTCAATGAATGTGCCTTTTTCCCTTTTTCTATATAAAATCATATTTGCATATTTTCTTTATAAGTTTCTTCATGCACAAGGATTCCATTTAAATATATATCCCTACAAAAAGTTTCCTCCTTCTAGAATATTTCATCTAAAATTCCTTCTTCAGTCCAGTATTCTACTTACATAGAAAGCTCTTGAGGAGTTCTAAATCTTATGATTTGGGCCGGAAAGATCAACCTACTTAAAAGTCAAATAAAAAAAAAGTTCTTTTTTTGTTCCTCTAGTTAGGTGTTGTTTGTTTTTTTTTTTATGAGATAAAATGTTTGCAGACTGCAGACCTTTGTAGTAAAAGAGATGGATCAAACATCTGCAATCTGAAAGAATAAAACTGTTTTTTAACATCAACAGATTGCTAGAATAAACTATAATTTAATTATATTGATTTAAAAAAAAACTTTAAAAAAAGTTGTTTAATAGTTTTATGACTTTATTATAGATAATTAACAAGCATAGATCAACTTTTATTTATTATTGTATAAAAAGTGAAAATAAAATAATACGAATTAACGTATATATTTGTTAAAAACCAACGAACTTTGATCGGAAAATTATACCTAAACATTGTAATTAGGGATAAAATAATTTAACACATAAAATCGATTGAAATAAACTTTGGTTTTCAAATGAAAATTTTCATTTTACATTTTTAATTAAATCAATTAAGAAATGGTCATAAAATTTTTCTTAGGAAATGAATAATACTGCATTAAATAATGTTTCATAAAGTTTGATACAAAAAATATAAGACACTTTAAGAATTTTTTCGTATCTATATAAATAACTCCAACGACAATTATTGTATTTAAATTTTTATTTATAAATTTGTCACAAATGTCATGATTGTGTCGTCTCTTTAAGTATTGCAATTTTTTTTTTTTTTTGCAAAGTGTTTATTATAGATAAAATTAGAATAAATCTAAGTAAAAAAGAAAGATTTATATGTTTTTTTAGCTAGAAGATGTGTAACGATGTTTGAAGAATGTGGTATGCGCCATGAAGAGGACGTGCATAGCTTTTTAGATGTGCAGTTAGAAAAAAAAAAAAAAAAAAAAAAAAAAAAAAAAAAAAAAAAAAAATCTGCGAAACCTAATGTTTTCGCCGCACAGACACGCAGACAGAAAAGGCTAAGTAGATTTGCTGACAAAAAACAAATAACAACTTACTTTTGTTTTGTTAACCTTTAAACGTCAAAATCAAGTTTATAGTTTTGTGTTGACTTTAAAATCTTTGAATGAAAAGTTCACGTTAAAATCTTTGAATGAAAAGTTGAGGCTAAGATATTTACTTGTTCTGTTGGGACTAAAGGAATATAGACATTTACTTCCAAATCCTCCACTTTCTTCTAATCAATTATTACGTTATGAAATTAGATAGGCAATCATTGAAAGGGAACTTACCCTAGACAAGATTGACTGCATATATTGTTACCTAACAGTGAGCTTGAATGATCTTTTGTAAGCATTGGATTACACCTAGGGAAAGTATTGATGCGTTTGAGTCGCTTGCCCCACCTGACCCTTCACTTTTAGCCAATGCTTTAGATCTTTGAGAAAAAAATCTAACCCATTTCCATGTACATGGGTCAAAATTGTCACGTCTAACACGACAATAATGTATTTGAACCTTTTGGCAGTCTACATTTCTAAAACTAAATATAATGAAATTTTGAATTTAAAGTTACAGAAATGATCTACATCAGAATTTATATATATTATCTTTGATATCTCAAGAATATAAATGCTTGTTTATCGAATATTGTGTTTTATTCAATTCATATTTTTTAAGATGTGTGGTGAAGTACGATTTTTTATGCAATCAGGAATAGACTTGACCATAAATCATTTATTTTGATTTCCAAGTCTTCCAAGGTCACTTTCTATTTATACTTTTAATAAATGCATTGATGTCTTGAATTTGATCACCCTTTCTTCAAACCAAACGACACGTTATGCTCTTAGACGAATGTAGTAACATTGATCAAACAAAGTAATTCAGTGAGCATCACAATAGAGCATATTATTAACTGTGATAATTTTATTTCTATATTTAATTTTATTTTTCATATTGGTCCCATAGTGGGTTTTATAAGAACTTTATATTATCTTATTCTAAGGGAACTTATTACAAAAATAAAATATTAATTTTTTGATAAAATGGCTTACAAGGTTTAATGCATCTAAATAAAATTTTCACAATTTTCAACCTAGTTGACATACTAAACGCATTATATATAAATTAAGAATGACTCAAATCCTGGCACCACTCATCCCTTGTGGCCATGGAGGTTCGCCTGCAGTGACTCCAGGGCATGAGGCAAAGCTTTATGTTTGCAGCGGGGGATTAGTCGGTGCACGAAAGCTGGCCCGGAAACCCTCGTTAGGGAAGTTCCCTTTCAAAAAAAAAAAAAATGACTCAAATCAACTCATAGTCTCATACGTGGGTTGGAATTGTCACCTCTAAAACATACAATATAATATAGTTTCATGAAAAAGTAATCTAGATGATCCGCATGAAGATTAATTTGTCAAATTTGTTTTATTCATATTTTTTTAGCGACCTGTTGTCCTACGTGTACACTTAATTCTTCCATGAGATTAGACTTGACCAAAAACTACATGTGTCGATCAATAGAAAAAAAGGTAGCCCATGACCAAAAGAATACAAGGTAGTCGATATAAAGTGCCCATCGATTTTCAAATACCGTTATATCTGTGAGTATAAGTCTAAAAGGTTTCATGAGATATCAAGTGATTTTTGACAGAAAAGTACATTTATATTTTCATGCAAAACAACTTTCGGTAATTGTCAACACAAATGTTGCAGCTTATACACATTAAAGATTGCGTGTATTGCAACTAAGATGTATAACAACCTTAAAGACATGATTCCTAGCATGCAATGCGCAGCAATAGTTCTATTTAAATTTTATAATTGTAAATTTGGTTTAGAGCCTGAAATCAATACCTGACCCAAATACGTTTTTGAAAATATCATAAATGTTTATTGGAATGCCTTAGACCATTCCTTTTTGCTTAAAATCTTTTCTAAGTCTGGTATATTTTATATAAGATGGATCAAACAATTTAATTTGTCTATTGTAGGAGGTGGGAATATTATTAAAAGCTAGCTCCCAAATATGAAGGACTTGGTCCTAGCTTCTAGAATATAAGTTTGTGAATATTAATTAATCTTCCATTGATTTCCAAGTCTTCCAAGGTTGCTTTCTATTTAATGTTTCAAACCAAACAACACGTTATGCACTTGGAAAAATGGAGCCACAATCACAATAATTCTTGCCCTGTATTTTTACTTTTCGTTTTTTTCTTGACCCCACCCCTTTCTATTCAAGTTTTTCTATATATTGTTTCATGATTACATGCTTTCCAAGTCGGCGACATGGACCATTTCTGCATTTCACCTTTTGTTTTTCTTTATATAGTTATGCCTTGCTCTTTGCATTTATCCCAAATTACATGCTTTTCAAGTCGGCCAACAAGGCTTTTTTGTGATATCCTCCAAACCTTTTTACGAGTCAGAAATTCTCCGTAATTTAAGTGGTTAAGATGCTTTGCTTGAACCTTGTAATTTAAGAAACACTGTATATACGAGAGTTTAATAAAATAATAAAATAAAACAAAGAGTGAAGAAATAAATTAGTTAATTGGTCCTGTGGTTTACAAAAATACGTAGTTTTAGTCCAGAAGTTTCATTTGTAGCTATTATAACCTGAAATGTGGTTGTTGCAGTTATGGTCCTTGGTCGATGTGAAATGATGTTTATACCCTTTCTAGTTGGGGTCCATCCCTTTTTTTGTTATTTAAAATCAATTAAAAAAATATAAAAGAAATTAGAAAGTTTATCGTTGACTTCAAAGCAAACCATAGCCATAAGTTGCTGTTCATTTATGACTTTATAAATCAACTACTTTCTTCATCATAACAACCATCTTGATTAACAAACCATTTTTCTACTTTTTTTTCCCAATCTCTACTACAAATTAGGGTTTATAATGGGGAATCATAGGGGTTTGAGGCTCCATCTCAGTTCTGTATGTGCTTTTCTATTTGCAGGAGCCACATATACTTCTACTTGTTTTGGTGATGGAAATACCAGTTTCACTATTTGCTCTGAGAAAGAGAGACTTGCTCTTCTCAAGTTCAAATACAGTGTTGAAGATCCTTTTGGAATGTTGTCATCATGGGTTGGCAATGACTGTTGCAGGTGGGCAAGAATCCAGTGTGACACTATCACTGGAAATGTGGAAAGCCTTTATCTTAGAAGAGATGAAGCCTACTTGTATGGTAATGAGGTGAAGTCTTCTTTGGCAGAGTTGAGGCATCTCAAACACTTGGACTTGAGTTGGAATGATTTTCAAGGAAGTCGGATCCCTGAGTTTATTGGATCCTTGAAACAGCTGACCTACCTCAATCTCTCTCATGCTGGATTTGATGGTATTATTCCTCCCCACATTGGAAATCTTTCTAATTTAAAGGTTCTTGATCTCAGTTCAAACTATAAGCTGATGGCTGATGATATGGCTTGGACTTCTGGACTTTCCTCACTTGAGCATCTCGTCTTGAGTTCGGTAGATCTTGGAAGAGCACAAAACACGGGAATGGTGTTTTACATGATTCCTTTGTTGAAAGAGTTAAGTTTGTCAGATTGTGGACTTTCCAATGCTAATGTTGGTCCTTTTCTTAATTCTAGTAGAATACTTCCCAACATAAAACACCTTGATCTTGGCTTTAATTCTTTCCAAGGTCCACTCCCCGGCTTTTTCCAAAACATGTCATCCCTAAAATTCCTCGATCTTTCTGAATTTAATCTTAGTTTGTCCTGGAACTTTGCAAACCTGCTAAACTTGATCCCTTCTTTATCAGAGCTGCATTTGTCACGTTGTGGACTCGGTAAAGAACATCTTTCTTCCCTTCGTCTCAATTCCAGTACACTTTCTAACATCCAACACCTGGTTCTTAGCGAAAATTTAATTGAAGGAACATTTCCATATGTTTTCACAAACATGAGTTCCTTAGGAGTCCTTGACCTCTCACGAAACATGCTGAAATCATTTGTTCCTATTATGCCTAACCTTCTAGATCTCGATCTTTCTCATAACCAGTTTAAGCAGATTGAGGATCTTGGAATCTGGAGACAGTGTCACCTAAAACAATTGCATGCATCAGGTAATGATTTTCAAATTGAAATGATTGACTCACCAAAAAACTTATCAGAATGCTCCCAATATGCTTTGGAATGGTTGGATTTAAGTTTATCTCCAAATGGAACAATTCCAGAACCACTTGGAAGACTAGCTAATTTAAGAGGGATAGATCTATCAAGCAGCAGGTTGATAGGCCCAATCCCTGAGTCTGTAGGAAGATTAAGATATTTACAAGTGTTAGATCTATCTGAAAACCAGCTAAGTGGTCCCATTCCTACATTCCTTGGGAATCTTTCCATACTTGACCTTTCTTTTAATCAGTTGAACAGTTCAATTCCAGAATCCTTTGGAAACCTCGCAGCTTTATCATATTTGGATCTAAGTTTCAATCAGTTAACGGGCCCCATCCCTGCATCTCTAGGAAGACTTGTTTCATTACGAGCAATTTTGTTGGGTTCAAATTTCTTGAATGGGACTATTCCAGTTTCATTTGGGCAACTTTCTAAACTCCGTTCTCTAAATTTATATAACAATTCTTTAGAAGGAGTAGTTTCTGAAGCCCATTTTGCTAACCTTTCAATGTTGGAAGCCTTGGATGCTTCTTTTAACCCCAAGTTGACGTTTAATGTTTCATGTGACTGGATACCTCCATTCCAATTGGCAGATCTTAGACTCAGTTCTTGCGCTATTGGAACTGAATTTCCGCAGTGGCTTCGAAGTCAAAGGAATCTTGATGCGTTGGACTTGTCCAATGCTACAATTTCGGGACCTCTACCCAGATGGTTGCGGAAGATACCCATCATTCGCTACTTAGATCTCTCTCACAACAAACTCAGTGGGCCTTTGACAAACCTTCCTAATGGGGAAACATATCGTCGGTATGGTTATGTACCGTTATTATTACTCGAAAACAACTTTTTCAATGAATCGATTCCAAGGTCAATATGCAGAAGGACAAATTTGAAATTTCTTGATCTTTCCAGAAATAGGTTAACCGGTAAAGTTCCAAAGTGTCTTGAGAATCTGCATATGTTGCTTACCATGATACTTGGCTCAAATCAGTTGTCTGGTGACATTCCAAGTTTTGTAGGTCTTAATTCGTTACAAACATTAAAACTGAATGACAACAACTTTGTTGGTGAACCTCCTCGAGCATTAGGGAATTTACAATATTTAGGTATCCTAGACGTGGGGGATAATAAATTGTCTGGAAATGTACCGGAATGGATCGGAGAACAGCTTACATATTTGATAGTTTTGAGGTTACATAGAAATAACTTCACTGGAAATATTCCAGAGTCTTTGTGCAAAGCTGTAAATCTTCACATTTTGGATGTTGCACACAACTACTTACAAGGAACCATCCCTAGTTGTTTAAGAGAGTTGATTGCCATGGTTAATAGCAATTTTGGGGTGATTGATGACTCTCCGGCTTATGAGATGGAAGTTGATGACTATGAGGAGTATGTTGATCAGGTCGTGAAAGGTGTTGATCTTGAATATACAAAAACTTGGAGAATGGTTTATAACATGGACCTTTCAAGCAATCAACTTGTTGGAGAAATACCTGTTGAGTTAACTGCACTTTCCAATTTGGTGGGTCTCAATTTGTCTAATAATCATCTCAGTGGGCTTATTCCAAACAACATTGGTAGCATGATGAAGTTAGAATCTCTTGATTTATCCGGAAACGAGCTGACTGGAGGAATCCCTCCAAGCATGGCAGCTCTAACCTTTTTGAGCCGTTTGAATTTGTCACATAACAACTTGTCAGGACGAATTCCAACAGGAAGGCAACTGCAGACCTTGATTGATCCATCAATATATGAAGGGAACAAAGATCTGTGTGGACCTCCATTTCCTAACAAGTGCTCAAATCCAAGAGAAGACCCAACAACAACAACCACAAGAAAGAAGAAACACAAAACAGCTGATGAGAAGAGCAAGGTATGGTTGTTTTACATGGACATAACGAGTGGATTTGCAACAGGGTTTTGGGGTGTTATTGGACTTCTGTTGCTCAAGAAGCATTGGAGACAGAAGCTTTTCATTTTTTCTGAGGAAATGATGGACAAGATATATGTTGCAGTAATGGTAAGAGTTGCCAAGATCAAGAGATGAAGAAAAGCCAAATAGACCCTCTGAAGTCAATTGTTATTTTGCTTTCTGATACCACTATTGTGCTTTTTGATACTACTGTTTGGATTTTATATTTGTAATATGGATGTTATTTAAAGGTGTCAATTTTTGAAGTTTTTGTTGGATTTGGTATGTATGCATGGTCAGGTAGTTAGATTAGATTAATATGGAATTGAATTCCTTTGGATCTAAAAAAATCCATGAGTGGTGTGACTTCTACTTGAAATGTGTTGCTCTTTCACTCCAGACATGATTCTTCTCTTACAACAAGCTGCTAATTTTTTATGCTTTTCATGTAAATGGCTCCAAGTCAGAATTAAGTAATCGCATCATTATCTTTTTCTTGGTTGAACTTTGTGTGGCTCTGCTTGATCCTCTTGATCATTTTACTAAAGCATTACTATTATATAGGGATTTAAGATCTAACTTGGACGAGAGATTAAATATAAATGCAAGATGGAGACAACCAGGAAGTCGATCTTAAAGATGCTTAGCATTATCACACCATAACCTTTATTGGTTGAACAAAATCAAGGAAACATATCTATTTTAACTAATAACAATTCAATGGTCGTCATACATTTGACTTGAATTGAAGTATAAGATTTACGTCTATTTACACTACTAGAAACAGAGGCATCTGTTGTTTGTTAAAGATCATCACTAGCCCAATAAAACAAATATTATTTAGAAGACTTTAGCTTGTTCTAGAATGCTCTAGAAGATTCTAGAACATTATGGAAGACTATGGAAGACTCTAGAATATACCGGAAGAGTCTAGAATACTCTAGAACGACATGGAAGACCCTGGAAGGATATGGATCATTCTAGAAGACACTGGAGCAACCTAGACCTCTCCAGAACATGGTAGAACGTTCTAGAAACATATGGAAGCATGTAGAGTATGTTAGATAGTTCTAGAGTTATCTAGTATGTAGTAAGTGTATGCTAGTATCTAGAACCTTCCTAAGAGGCCTATAAATAGGTATGGAGCTCATTTGCTCCAAACCATCCAAGAAAGCCTCAAAGAAAGCAAAGTGTGTAGTAGTCTCACAAAGTGTAAGTTCTCCTTAAGTGTCTTAATAAAAGTCTTGTTGTTTCCCATATAAAAGAGTCGTGTTCAACAATCTGGTATCAGAGCAAGGTTTCTTGATAGTGAGAACGAGTGATTCTCGTTGTATCGTGAGTAGTTTGTGACTCTGCAAGTTTAGTATCAAAACTAGCTTGTTTGGTATTACCGAGGTACTGCCAACACGATGGGTGATCTCCAAGTCATCGGAGGAATCAAGAAACTCAACAACAACAACTACAAAACGTGGGAAACATGTATGAAGTCCTACTTACAAGGACAAGATCTATGGGAGGTCGTTGGTGGAAGCGAAACTACGCCACCAGAGGAAGACGTTAATGGTGCTTTACGCAAATGGAAAATCAAAGCAGGCAAAGCAATGTTTGCCTTGAAGACCACAATGAAGAAGAGATGTTGGAGCATATTCGGGATGAGAACACCCCGAAAGAAGCTTGGGACACGTTTGTGACGCTTTTCTCAAAGAAGAATGATACGAGACTACAACTTTTGGAGAACGAGCTATTATCAATCTCACAACGTGACATGACGATTGCTCAATATTTCCACAAGGTCAAGTCGATATGTCGGGAGATTACTGAACTAGATCCACAATCCGTCATTGCAGAAGCTCGAATGAAGAGGAATCATTATCCATGGACTGAGGCCGGAATATAGAAGCTTTGTTACTGCTGTACAAGGATGGCCCGCTCAACCATCACTTGTAGAGTTTGAGAATTTGTTGGCCAGCCAAGAAGCTATGGCTAAGCAAATGGGAGGCATCACGCTGAAGAGTGAAGAAGAAGCACTCTACACAAGTAAAAGTCGGAGGAATTTCAAGCCACCTTCTAAAGAAGGATACAAAAATGCTGACAAAGGGAAGAGTCAGCAAGGAACCTCACAACCATGGAGATCTCAAAAGACCGACAATAAGAGTTCTCGGGGGAGGAGGTTCGAAGGCAACTGCAACAACTGTGGAAAGTGGGGCCACATGTCCAAGGATTGTTGGTCAAAGAAAAAGTCTGTGGAAAGCAATGTAGTAACTTCCAAAAAGGAAATAGAGGATGAATGGGATGCTGAGGCATTATGTGCCATGAAGAAAACGAGTTGGCACTCATGACAATGATGGGAGAGCGTATCAACTATGAAAATGACTGGATCATTGATTCAGGATGCTCCAATCACATGACTGGCGATCAGAACAAACTACAAGACGTGAAGGAGTACAAAGGGAGTCGCATGGTACTTACAGCCAACAATGCACGACTTCCAATTGCTCAGATTGGAAAAACGACGATCATGCCTGGTAATAAATCTGACATGGTGTCACTACATAATGTGTATCACGTGCCAGGTATGAAGAAGAACTTGTTGTCGGTATCGCAACTAACATCGTCAGGCAACTACGTCTTGTTTGGCCCACAAGATGTGAAGGTCTATCGAGATCTTAAAATATCAGAAACGCCAACAATGGAAGGACGAAGAGTGGAGTCCGTTTATGTGCTCTCCGCAGAGTCTGCCTATGTAGATAAGACTCGTAAGAATGAGACAAGCAGATCTATGGCATGCACGGCTGGGACATGTTGGTTATCACAAGTTGAAGGTAATAATGGAGAAATCCATGCTCAATGGCTTACCTCAACTTGAAGTTAAAACAGATGTTGTTTGTGCTGGATGTCAGTATGGTAAAGCTCATCAATTACCATACAAGGAGTCAAATTTTAGAGCAAAGAAGCCACTAGAGTTAATTCACTCAGATGTGTTCGGTCCAGTCAAGCAGACATCAGTTAGCGGGATGCGGTACATGGTGACGTTCATTGATGATTATTCGAGATATGTGTGGGTTTTCTTCATGAAAGAAAAATCCGAAACATTCTCAAAGTTTCTAGAATTCAAGACAACGGTCGAAGGAGAAGTGAGAAAGAAGATTCGGTGTCTACGCTCAGACAATGGAGGAGAATACACCTCGGAAGAATTCAATCGCTATCTGAAAGAATGTGGTATACGTCATCAATTCACATGTGCCAACACACCTCAACAAAATGGTGTAGCTGAGAGAAAGAATCGACATCTTGCAGAAATTTGTCGAAGCATGCTACACGCGAAGAATGTCCCAGGAAGATTTTGGGCTGAAGCAATGCAAACTGCTGCCCATGTGATCAATAAACTTCCCCAACCAAGGTTAGGTTTCATCTCACCATTTGAGACACTATGGAACATGAAACCTACTGTTAGCTACTTCCGAGTATTTGGCTGCGTTTGCTACGTATTTGTGCCTAGTCATTTACGTAGCAAGTTTGACAAGAAAGCAGTCAGGTGTATATTTGTTGGATACGACAATCAAAGAAAAGGGTGGAGATGTTGTGATCCAACAAGTGGAAGATGCTACACTTCAAGAGATGTAGTGTTCGATGAAGCATCTTCATGGTGGTCCTCAGAGAAGAAAGTACTACCAGACTCAGAAAATATTGAAGAAGTTTTAAAACAAAAGATGGGGGAGCAAACTGCACATATTTGTTCAAGTGTTGATACACCTGAAGATCCGAGCGACATTGATGTCATTGAGCAAGAAGTAACTCAAACAAGTGATGCCGGTGAAAGGGAGTCGCCGCCAACTTCGAAGGACGGAAAGAATCCGAAAGCCTAATCCCAAGTATGCTAATGCGGCCATTTTAGAAGACGGTGTTAAAGAGCCGGAGACATATGAAGAAGCATTAAGAATAAAGCTTGGCAGAAGGCAATGGAAGAAGAAGTTACAGCCTTAAGCAGAATCAAACGTGGGAACTAGTACCAAGACCAAGAGATATAAAACCTTTCCTGCAAGTGGGTTTATAAATAAACGACGCCAGATGGATCAATTGAAGATACAAGGCTCGTCTGGTGGCTCGAGGGTTCTCACAACAATATGGACTGGACTATGATGAAACATTTAGTCCAGTGGCGAAGATAACTACTGTACGGGTGCTGCTAGCTCTTGCGGCTAGTAAAGACTGGAAATTATGGCAGATGGATGTGAAGAATGCTTTCTTGCATGGAGAATTAGATCGGGAGATCTACATGAACCAACCAAAGGGATTTGAGGATGCAGTTAATCCCACTCATGTGTGCAAGTTGAGAAAAGCTCTTTACGGATTGAAGCAGGCACCAAGAGCCTGGTATGGTAAGATTGCTGAATTTCTTACCCGAAGTGGTTTCAGTTGCACATGCAGACTCAAGCCTGTTCATCAAAGAAAAAGAAGGGAAGTTGGCAATTGTGTTGGTTTATGTGGATGACTTGATCATCACCGGGGATGACGAAAGAGAAATCCATCAAACAAGAGAAAATCTATCGGTGCGATTCCAAATGAAAGAGCTGGGGGAGCTTAAACACTTCTTGGGGTTAGAAGTTGATCGTACAAAGGAAGGGTTGTTCCTCTGCCAACAAAAGTATACAAGAGATATACTTCAAAAGTTTGGCATGTTGGAGTGTAAGCCAATATCAACACCAATAGAGCCAAATGCCAAGATATGTGCTCATGAAGGAAAAGAGTTGGACGATGGAACGATGTATCGACAACTAGTAGGTAGTCTTATCTACCTAACTTTATCTCGGCCTGACATTGCTTATGCAGTTGGAGTTATGAGTCGATACATGCAAAGTCCGAAGAAACCTCATTTGGATGCTGCCCGACGGATCTTGAGATATGTCAAAGGTACAATTGACTATGGTCTCTTGTATAAAAGAGGAGAAGACTGCAAGTTGGTTGGATATTGTGATGCTGACTATGCAGGAGACCATGATACCCGAAGATCAACCACTGGGTATGTGTTCAAGCTTGGGTCGGGACCAATATCATGGTGTAGTAAAAGACAACCAACAGTATCATTGTCAACCACGGAAGCGGAGTACAAAGCAGCGGCCGTAGCAGCTCAAGAA